AAATCATGAACCCTGAATTTGATGATCAGGATCAATTTGTACTCCTCTCCCAGTACTATCCTGACGGCTTATTCACACAGTTTCCCCCCACCCCACAACAACAACAAGGTCAAGCTCGCCAACTTTTCCATTTAATTTAATTTAATTTTTTTTCTTCCTCATTAAAACTAAAAAAAAGAAAAAATTAATTAATAATACGTGCATGTTGTTATTAATTAATTAATTAATTTAATTTATGGATACAACAAAAACAGATGCAGCAGGCAGCAACCCGAAGCCCCGGAGGAGAAGGCGCAAGAGCAAGTTGGGAGATGATGACGTGTCAGCAGTGGCCCGCAAGAGGAAATTGAGCGAAGAACAAGTTCAGATGCTGGAGATGAGCTTCGGGAACGAGCACAAGCTCGAGTCCGAGAGAAAGGACAGGCTGGCTGCTGAGCTGGGCCTCGACCCTCGCCAGGTGGCAGTCTGGTTCCAGAACAGGCGCGCCCGCTGGAAGAGCAAGAAGCTCGAGGAAGAGTATGCTAAGCTCAAGTCACAGCACGACTCGGCCGTCCTCGAGAAATGCCGCCTCGAGTCCCAAGTATATATATATATATATTCAACTAATTAATTAATTATCTTTCTTTATTCACCCACTTAATAGATGCATGCACCATTTAATTTAGATTTTTGGATAAACATGAAACTCTCCGCAGTAGCGGGGAAAAAATAAAAATAAAATAAAATGATAAATGGATTAGATATGTATTTAATTTTGGGTTATTGTTGCCAGTTGCCACCATGAAAAAAGTCTGACATATATATATATATTTTACACTTCCTCATTCACATGCCATTCACCCCACGTGTACGTTTTATACGCCCTACACCAACAATAAATACGTTTTAGTATATTATTTAATGATTGGGAAAAAAATGTACAGCTAATGAAGCTGAAGGAACAACTGGACGAAGCGGAGAAGGAGATACAGAGGCTATCTGAGAGGTCAGATGGGTTTTCTAGTAACAGCCCGTCATCGTCGTTTTCGATGGAGCCGCCTTTTCTTGGTGAATTTGGAATGGAAGGTTTGGAGAATATGATTCCTCAGAATAATAATGCCTATGCTAATGCCTCTGAATGGGGTAGTCTCTACTGGTCAAACAATTATTAGGGTTAATTAATTTGGGAGGATTTCATATATATGTAGATAAATAGTTGTATTAAATTGGGCTTTTAATTTTAGGTGTGTTAATTGTGTTTAATTAAGGGTAGTGATTGCCAATTATCAGATAGTAATTAATTGTGGTGACTAAGAATTACTTTGCCTTTTCAGGAATGTTAATTATTAGCTAGCTTGGTATTGTGTACTTTGTTGGTGCTTTTATTCTCTTTGTTTTTTAGCACACATTGTGGTTTAAAAATGTAAGAGATGGGGACTAATCAATTCTCAGTATACATCGAATGGGGCTGAGAATTTAGAAACTGGGTTGGCTAAAGACAGACTTTGATAAGGACTTGTACTTGATTTCAATGGCCTTTGACGCAGCACCTCATACACTAGCTTATGAAAATGTGAACCAAATCAAATTAATGTGACAATAAAATAGGAGGTTCCATCTGAAAAAACAAATTTATATAATGTCTGTTATAAATATTTTAAAATAATTATTTTGATATGGATACTATTGTTTTATAAATATTTGACAAAAATTATTTTTGTATCGGTCTTGCGGTTTTATTTTTCATTAATGAAAGACCTATAAATATCTCATAATCACTTTAAGGTGAATGACAAATTAGTTCTAAATTATATGTGAAGTAATAAATTAGTTGTAGTAGCTCATAATCGAGTTTAATAAGCTCAAAAGCTAGTTAGTTAGAATAAAAAACAAACAAGATCACGCATAAAAAAAAAATTAAGAATTGAATGTGGATCAGCAACGCTCTTCGTGGGCTCGACCCTGTTCAAACTTGTTGGCCGTTAAGAGTTTTCAGCTCACGCACACACACACACACACAAGTTTTTCTAACTATGAAACCAATGTTTTCATGATCCGGTACCCGGCTGACCTCCAAGTAATCGGATAAATTATTGAATCGAATAATTAATTTTAAAATTATATATTAATTACTAATTTTGTCATATATATAAATATACATAAAAATAACAAAAATAATGATTTATATGTAAATTTTATATCTTAAAAGGTGTTAACGTAATTGTATCTCATAATAAATATTTACCGCACAAATATATATACATAATTTCTTCCAAAAAAATAATATATAAGCATCAGTTAGCTTTTGTTTTGAAGGGCCAATTATATTAGTACAAAAAATATTATAATATTCTACACAAGTCCCTATAATTGTAAGAGTTTTAATTTAAGCTGCTTTTATTGTATTTGTCCATTAGTTGAAGCATGCATGTTGAGAAATAATTTGTTAATTTAATATGGTTGAACTAGTTCGTGAGTATACTTTTTAAAAGATACTGTGACTATGCATTTTCATTTTGTAAAAAACAGGAAAAGCTTGGAACTCCATTGTCAATCTATACCAAACTTGGGTGACAGTATTTGCAGCACGTATTATCTTAGCATTAAACTATTAACAACAATTTCAAAAGTGACAACATTATTCAACATTTATAGAAACCCTTTTAGACTAATTATTTCTTTTGATTAATAAATTTTTATCCGACGTGGACTGTTTATATTTTCCACGCAAAGGGGAAAAGGACAATGTCATTAGTCTCTTTCAATCATTTAAAGGCCGTATTTAACTGAAGAAAATGCATCCAAATTTTCGTTTTCTGTTACTAGTAAAGTGCACGTGCGATGCACGTGACGACGAATGTTTTTTACCGATTAAATTTAGTACGATAAATTAATTAATTTATTATACATATGACTGCAGGAACAAAATAAAATGTAGAATAAATAAACTTTTCATGAATTTTATTTTAAATAAAAAAATGTTGTCGTAATATAAAAAAATTTATATATCATATTACAACTCCAACAAAAATATATGAAAAATGAGTTCCTAATGAAAAAACAATAAATGACTAAATAGAGACATAATGTATATTATAGATGCATGAGTTCTTTTATTTATTTATGTTAGATTCAAGAGTCATTTTGTTCTCATAAGAAACATTCATACTCGTTGAATTCTAATACATCAATAGTATTGCAAAATTCTTCTTAATTAATTTGACAAAACGTCTGTTTTATTCAACACTTAGAAATACATTAGCCAAACATATAGTCAAACTTTATAATTGTATGATCATTATAAGATATTTCTACTAATAGTTCATGAGCATGTTTGTTTATAAGAAATTTTAAAAAAAAATTCTACATTTTAACTCAACCACTTTTTTTAACTCAACTTTAACTCACTCCCACTATCATCAAAATTATCAATATAATTAAATAATATCAATCAATCATTCATACACACCACATCAACCTTAATTCACTATTCATCCACTCACATTATTTTAACTAACCATCACTTCAAATATCTCTCTCATACTTTTGCATCATATCAATTTTAATTATTTTATTATAAATATTATTTTAATATACCTACTAACAACTAAC